AAAAGCATCTAGCCCCATGCCCCAGATCTGATCATTCTAAAATTCTTCCTTTCATTGAACCCAAGTTTTTTCCACCTACTGGCTCTAGCTCTACCCTCTGGGAGCCGCTCTGTTCCTGTGACAGACCTCCATACAGAGATATCACTGTAAGCAAGATCAGCGGGCAGGGACTGTGGAAGAAGCAGGCTGAGGCTAAGCATGGACACCACTGTGCCTGTCACATGTAGTCAATGCAGATTAGCTCCCAACCCTGTCCACTCACCCTCAGAGACCACTGCTCATAGGAGGTGATCTCCCCTCATTTGTTCCTACCAACCTTGAGCATCTGGGTACCCACGTGGCAATCAAGTGCAACATGCAAAATTTTAAGAGTCGCCTACCTCTCACCAATCCATCCCAGAAATAATCTAAGCCTCCACAAAAATGCAAATGTCTGGGGCAAGGGGAGGGTATAGCTCAGTGGTAAAGTATGTGCTTATCATGCAAGAGGTCCTGGGTTTAATCCCCAGTATCTCCATTAAAAATGAATCTTAAAAAAATTTTTAATGCAAATCTGTTGGTGTCTGAAGGGGTTTCACACCTGGTGGGGGTGGGGAAGGCTAGGGGAATGGGGACCAATTTCTCTTTAAGAGTGCAGCTTGCCAAGCTCAATGGGCTCACTAGAAGGAAGCCTGGGCACTTTCCTGACTGGCAGGGGACACTATGGCTTTCAATGCTAATGACAATCACAGTGCTAGAGGCTTGGTACAGCCTCAGTAACCAAAACAAGTACAGAAGCAGGAACCCTGTTTGCAAATATCTGCCCTTTAATTTGCATTTAAAATCAGTTTCTTTAAATATTTTAGTTACAAGTTCTGAATAGTGAAGACATAGTAGATGCTGCAGGCACTCAGTACTGGTTCCCACCCCTTCCCTCACCCCAACCCTCAGGCCTTGCTTCTCTTCTCAAAGTACAAATGGACACCCTGCACTAAAGAAATGGCTCCCATGTCAAGTGTCAGCAGCCTCAGGCCTGGATGCAGCTGGATACAAAGTGATGAAGCCCAGTAGCTTTCATGACAAGATATGTGCATTTAATCATGCTCCAAGGAATTCCAATGATTGTGCCCAAGCAAAAACGGGCAATACCTCAGAGGTGACATCAGCCACTTACCTACTGTGTACTAGAATCTTGGGCTAGTTTCCACCACCATCCATCCTCCCCCCAGACCTGTGTTCTGCAGAGGAAGAGCTAAGGCCCTGCTCCCTAAGGGCCATGATGCAGGAAGGAACAGAGCCACCTTTTACCCACAGGCTTTTACCAATGGAATTTAGAAGCTCAAGTCAACCAGAGCCAGTCCATAGGAAGCCTCCTTCACCCCAGTCTCTACCAGGCGCCATCTAGCCCTTGGCTGTGACATGCTCTGTCTCACTGCCATGTGCTAGAATCTGCTCTAAGTGAGAACAATGTGGTAGAATGGTTCCTAGCAGCCTGGAAAGGTGGTCACAACCACAGTAGTGTGTGGCTGTGCCAAAATGGGTCTTCCTGGTGCAAAGCTACGATGAAGAGTGTGAGGGCAGACCTGGATTCTGCTCCTGTCTCGGTGACAACATATGACCTCAGGGAGAATCTGCCCTCTCCCCCTCTTAACACTGCCTATCCATCCCCTCAACCCCCTTAATCTCCTGGCCTGTGCTTCCTGGAAGAGGTAGAAGAGGCATCTTGAAGTCACTGACAGCTGAGAATGAAGGCGCCATTTAAGAAGCAGAGCAGCACCTCTTGGCCTGTGGTCAATACCTCCACTCAGATGGAATCGGATGAGGACGTGCACAGGCAGGACAGAGGCTGCTCCAAGCTTGGGAGGCACACCACCCTCCTAGGCATCTCTGGAGAACAGACTTCCAAAAGATAGAAGCTTAATCACATGGTCGCCAGTGGTTTCCCTACAGTATACTGACACAGGGGAGAAGCAGAATCATCTCTGCAGAGGGCTAGTGGAGGAAGGGCAGGAATATTAATGAGCATCCATTAAGGCTCTCTCTCTCCCTCAAGCCTAAGGAAATAAGATATTCGAGTGTAAGAGAAGGGTGCAGAGAGAGAGAGAGCCTGGCAGGAACACCAAAGAAGAGACCTGCAACTGCTGGTTACATAGTGCCCTGGTTTCCTTGCTTGAGGCCAACAGCATATGCCTGTCTGTCACCAGGCTAACCTGGGGCCCGTAAGGGGACAGGGAGAAGACTGGTTTTCAGTTCCTGCATGGTCGATGTGTAGGGCGTGTGGCTTCCTCCTAAAGGTCTAGTAGGAGGACTCTGGGATCCTCTACCGCTGCCTTGATCTTGCGGAGGAAAGTCACAGCCTCTCTGCCGTCAATCAGCCGGTGATCATATGTCAGGGCCACGTACATCATGGGCCGCACCTCTACCTACAGAGAGGAGAGTTCGACAGGTTTGTCTACAGCAGGACAGAGAGAGCCCGTCTGAAGGGGAGAGATGACAAAGCATGGCCCGTAAGTAAGTTCCCAGTTCCAGACCCATTCCTACTATGCTTGTTGCTTCTGGATACTTGCAATATATTCAAAGACCAATCCCTACCCTTAGTGCAAAGCTCCCACACTCAAAAACAAATCTTAACCCAAGAAAATAGGAGTCTCCTTACAACTGCCTTTAAAAGGGGAAAAACAAAACAAAACAAAACACCATGCTCCGCCCTCTCACTTGTCTGCTCTCTACAGGGAAAAGTTCCTGTTCACTTCTGGCTGCCTGCAGTTTCCTCTCTAGGGTTAGAATTTAAAAAAAAAAATTTTTTTTTTACGTAAGGGTCCACAAATTCTCTGAAACTGTATGCAAAGTTGTCATATGAGTATTTTCCAGGGGAGAGCTATGGTTTTTAGATTTAAAAAGGAGTTAGTGACCCAAAAAGGTTCTACACAGGAGCCCCAGAAAACATTTTCCTACCAACATATCATCCAGGACCAGCTCAAGACCCTTTGACCTCCTTCCCTGAACTCCCAGAAAACCTCTAAACCTTATCGTACAACTTGGCAGCTTACAGGTGGCTCTGCACTGTTGTCCTCTGTTTCCCAGGGACAAGATCATGTCTTCAACTGCATCCCCACACTCCCTATAGGACCTAGAGAATGAAGCAGCAAGCTTTCTCAGCTCAATGGTTCTCAAACTCGAACATGCATCAGAATCATCTGTACTTTCTGCTTCACTAGCTCTGGGAAGGGGTCCAAGAATTAGCATTTCTAACAAGTTCTCAGATGCTGCTGCTCCACACAACACAGTTTGAGAAACAGTGCCTTAAGCTGTTAATTAGAAACTAAGAGATGCAACTTATACTTGAAATTACAGTGACTCTTTTATAATCAGCATTTACTCAGACTTCCCTCTCCTCATCATCTAGCTGCTGATGTAAGCGGTGATGGTTCCTACCTTGCCCCCGATAGCCACTGGCCTATCAAATATGGCATGCATGCCCAGGATGGCAGACTGCGGGGGGTTGATAATGGGTGTTCCAAAGAGCGAGCCAAAAACGCCTCCGTTGCTGATGGTGAAAGTACCACCATCCATATCTTCAATGGCAAGTTCATTCTTTCGGGCCTAAAAACAGAGATTTTGTAACTGAAAGATAAGGTCAACCCAGCTTTCTTCACCTACAGTTCAGAAGGCTCACATCTGAGATCAACAGTCTGAGTTCTAGCTTTAGCATGAAAGTTGTGCAGCCTGTGACTAGTGCTCCACCAGAGAGGACTCCAGGACCTTTTCTTCTCCGAGCAGGTTTCACCTGAAGAGCTCTTCAGTCGTAAGAGCTCGATGAGCCCCGCCAGACAGCTGCACTTCAGCTCTCACTCCTGACTGCTGTCCTCAGGGCCACGCACTCCTTTCGGAACAAAGCGAGTATCCAGCATCCTGAGCACTGCTCACTGGCCCAGCCTCCCCCAGGCTCTCTTCCCTGACCTGCCCAGCAGCTCATACACGTCCTTTCTACTTTACCTTCTCTCCCAGTTCACTGATGGTTCGCTCAATATCGGCGTAATTCATACTTTCCACATTCCTGATGACGGGAACCACCAGACCCTGATGAGAGTGAAAAGGTGTTTCAGTCGCAAATTAATAGTACCCTTTATGGTTATAACTCCCCTGATTTAAGCCAATGTTCTCCCCTTCCCAGAGTATCTTAATTACTCAATGTAATTAACAGAGTAAAACATTCAGGCTCGACATTAAGATAAAAGAATGTGGTATGGCTAGACATCAGTTACTCTTCTAGAAACTCCCTTCTAAGAAGTTAGAATTACAGAAGTGATCTCTCCCAGGGGTCTGCTTCTTCCCACGGGTAAGGTGAGAGTCTCAGACCAGAGCTCCCCAGCTCCTACTCCAACATACCCGAGGGGTGGCCACCGCAACGCTGATGTCAATATAATCCCTGTACACCACCTCTTTGGTTGTATCGTCAATCACTGTGAGAGAGAAAACACACATTACATACAACTCCCCAGGCCTAGGCCAATGAGGAAACATTTGCATTAAAAGAGTAAAAATCCACGCTGCTTGGTACGGTGTGGGCTGACCAACTAGCAAGAAAATCACAGCAGTACAAGCAGCAGCTGGCACTCCTCTTACTCCCGTACCAACTAATCGTAACTACTCCCGAGAGTCCCAACTAAGCAAGAGCCCAGGAGCATCCATTTCCTCGGCAGTCCTCAGAAGGATCGCCACACTGGCTAACACAGGAAAGAGAACGTGCCAAAGTTCTTGTTAATCAGCTCTACTCCAGACCTCCCTTAGCTAATGACCAGGTATAAAAAGTGCTCAAACAAAAGGGCCCCTTCTGCTGCCCACTCTCAACAAAGGGTGAGGGAAGCCTCTTTCTAGGAGACTCGGGAGGAAGCAGGATGGTCTGGCTTTAATATGCTACCCTGAGAGCAAACCAGCAGCGAAAAATTTAGGTCTGGTGCTCATGAGAAAATACAACTTGAGAATCTTTCCCACAAAGTTTATGTTGTATTGCAGGTAAGACACCCTGACGTGAGAAGTCTGGAGAGCTGGGCTGGCTCAGAACTGCTGGTTGCCAGAGCAGCTGCCAACCTGTGCACTGGGAAGAGAACCTGTTCTGTCCAACTACTAGGGAGAGAGCAATTGTGATGCCATCTGAGGAAGGTGAGTCAAGAAACTCCTGGGGAAGGTACTCAAGTTTTCACAGGTATGAAATAAGAAGTCTTCATCTGTTGACCCCCATCTTTGTGTCTGTGTGTGTGGAAACAGGTCTTTGCTCATACACACGTCCCAGGACCTCTGCGATTCTGGCCACCACAAACTCACCTGCGTTTACAACAGGCTGCTCCTGCAAGGCAAAGGCTGAGGCCTTCACAAACGCCGACATGAAGCCTAGTTTGAGGTTATGTTTCTTCAGAAAAGCTTCCTTGTGCCGAGCCCTCATCTCCTGAATGTTACTGCAAAAACACATTATAAAACAAACTGGTCACAAAATGAAGCCTCAATTTTGACTTTCATACTGGTTTCTAACTCCATGGACACAACTGGGTAAGCTTCTTTCCCTTTCTCCCTAGGACCATTTACCTAGGTTCAAGTTTTGAAATAGTCCTCTAGAGGTCAACACAGTAACTTTATTCCTTTACAAAACCTGGATCCAAAGGCATTGGATCCAATCTATCTTAAGGTAGACTGAGCCCTTTCCAAGGCTCCTTCATGTTCCAGAAGACACAGATTTCAGCAACAGACAATATGAACAAGCAATCACACAGCACGCCAACATTATTGCCCTAGATGAGAAAGTGACTTCTAGCTACACTAAAATCATGAGCCATCTATCCCGAAAAAAAATTTTTTAAGCATAAACAAGTCCACAAAATAAGAACCATTCTTTTTTATTTCTTGTTAGATTTACTTTCAAAATGTCACCAAACCTGACTGACTCCCTCGTGACATTCCTCCCATCTCTTAGTGAAGACTGAAAAAGAAAAAAAAGAAAGCCCCAAACCCCACAGGGGTATGGGCTTCATGTGAGCCAAAGCAGTCGTGACTATCCTAGATGGATAAATCCAGTGTTGTTTTAGGCTCATGAGAAAGTCTGCAGATTCATTCGTCTCCCCAGAGTTAGCACTTCCATCTGCTTGTTCCTTCCAACAGGTACTAACACTCACCACACATAGGGGTCAATGCAGGGCACCAAGATACAAAGATAATAAAGACACAGTTCTTGCCCTTAAGATTAGTCTGATGGACATGGCTTCTTTGGCATTTAGAAAAGTGACCATGCGTGGACCTAACTAAGCTTTTAAAGTACAAGCACCAAGGCCTCTGGGAAGCCTTTGCAGCATGAACAGCCTTTGTTCCTTTGAGGCTGGTTTTTCACATATGTACAACTTATGTATTGCAGTTAGTGGCAAATGGCTTTCCCACCATTTTGCTGCAGAAACCTCTGTATTGATGGGAATACAGTTCCGTGATGGAAATCAAATTTAACTTTATCTCAGGCCCAAATGCTTGGTTCTCCCTTTCTCCCTATAATGGCCTAATTTGGCATTAGCACGGAAGATCAGATGGTATAACTTTAACACCCCCCCTTCAGATCTTTTGTTTTTGAAAAAGGAAGTTTTCCTAGGGGGACTGATTGGGTTTAAAATGTTTGTTTTCCTGAGTCTAACCTCATTTAGTGCTAGGATTACCACTCTAAAGACATTACTGGTTCCCAAGACACAAGAGCTGCAGAAGAGGGAAAGAGAAGTGATAAACATCTATGCTCTCAAAACTGCCCAAATGCTATTGTCTGGTCATTAAGTAGCTTCTATTTCAGAGCTCTGCCCTTGGAGGCAGAGGCTGAGACAATAGGGGAGAGAAGAAGGTCTCAGACAGGCCCCTTACGGGTTAGCTGATCAGCACAAGACCCCAAGGGCACTCAATCCAAACCAGATTACTGACTGCAGCGAGACCCCAGGCCATCATTAAGTGACACCTCGATTAGCTACTGAAAGGAGATCCAGCTACTGCACTTACCTTCCAATCAAAGCTGTTGGGCCAACTGCATCTTTCAAGGCCACAAATATTTACATGTTTTGTCTTAAGGAATTGGGTAGAATTTCAAAGCCCAATTCAATTTGTGTACAATTTGGCCCTAATGCACTGAAACATAAACTGCAGCCCTTATGATTCATTAGTCAAGGTCCTTCCCTACATCCTCTGGGTAGAAGACAAATCTTTGGCTTGAATGACATCTACTCTTGTTAGCAAGACTCACAACAGAATGGATGACATCTAGTGAAATGGGTCACAGAGCCCTCTGCTGTGAACAATATCACAGCACACTGTCAATAAACCATTCCCCTCTTTATACTTTTCAGACCCCTTCCAAAGGAAACCAATTTCCTTAATGAAACACAGATTAGCAGATTATAAACACTTTGGACAAAAAGAATCAAAGAAATGACCTGAAGATTTGATGATTTTTACCCCCTGTATTAAATATGAACTCTTATCTTGGCCCTTAAAACATTCTAAAATATGGATCCAACTCTACCATTCTTTCCTACACATATTCCTCACAGCGATTATTTCTCAAAAGTGTCTTGTACTTTCCTGTCTGTGCCAGGTCCGTATTGTTCACATCTTTTTCCTTAAAAGCACAACTTGTTTCCCACTTCATTATTAAAGCTTGGAAAGGTGAAAGATATGGCAAACCTATGCCTTTCCACCTCCCCAATTCTGGGTCGCTTAGAACACACATAAAGAGCGCTCGGTGAGAAAGAAGCGGGTGCGGCACCCTGACTCTGGGCATGCTGACAAGTGATTCTCTGTCCCTAGGGGTCGCCTTGTTGCCCTGGTTGCCCTATCGCTACTTGTCAGCTTGACAGCAGTCAGAGTTTAAGACTATTATCAGCCTCGTTTATCAGAAATCACAAGATAAAAGTCTAAAAGTCTAAGTTTTTAAGTCACAGAGGAGCCAGGCATAGTATGAGGAAAGTCAATTAGAGATGAAACCAGTAGGTCACTGTGTAAGTCAACAAGCAGTGCAAAGAAGTACGTCTTTCCTGTTAGTTTTGGAATCAGCACTCAGTAGGGACTTGGGCAAGTTCAAGTGGTTCTCCAAGAAAAAGGGCATGGGGAGTAAGAACTAGAGCTCTCACCTCATGTCAATCTCATTGAAAGTCGTAAGCATTGCACAGGTATTCTGGGCCTCCTTTAGACGCTGGGCAATGCGCTGCCGCATCCTGTTCATTTTTTCCTGAAAGAGAAAGTGGGACAACTATTGCTAACCCTGTCTCTTTGAGCCTAGCCCTTCCGACTTAGTCTGAGGGAGCACTTGGCTTGCCAGGAGTGGATAATAAGGACTATAGTATAATCTAAATACAGGGAAAGATCTAGGATTCCTCTTTCCTGTGGCAGCCTTGCTCCTCTGAGCAAGAACAAGGAAATGCAGACAAAACTCACTCAGATGTGCCTGAAGTGAGACCAATAATAGAGGCCCAGGAAATGGTTTGATTTAAAAACTAAAACTAATTTATGGAAAAGAGGAGTGTGGTGTAGTGCTAGCCAGCCCAAGAGTCATTACAGAAAGGGCAACTTCTGGTGGTAAAGACTTGCATGAAAATAGCTATTTGTGGAATGGAAACTCACAAGCAACAAACTTTTGAGGCTACAGTATTTTTAGGAGGTATTCTCAGGCAGAGGAACCCACACTCTAGACCATATTTCCTTGAGGTTTTACGTCTGCCCGACTGCCACTGTGTAGCCCTCAGCCAAGTATCCGGAAGTATGGGAATAGAGCCCACTAAACCACCTCTCTGAACTGTGTGTTATCATGGAATGGGGGGGATGTGTTACTAGGCTATTACCCCCTGCATATATTTTACTCACCCGTGGCATTTCAGTGGTAGCATAATACAGTGGGGAAAACCAGTGGGCAAATGTTCAGAAGACCTCACGTTCTAGTCCTATCATTTGACAGTTACATGACTGAATAAGTCACTTCCTAAACTCAATTTCCTTGTCAAGATCAAGGGATCAGCTTCCGGCCACTCGAAGGTAGGCACAGCAGACCCACACTCCATTCATCTCAACACTATCCCTCTGCCTCTTTCTTGGAAGTGGTCCTCAGAGGCTTACCCGATGTTCTGAACGCAGACCCTTGCCAACTCCTGGCTCAGCTACTGCAGGGGCAGCAGTTGGTTTTACTGCAGACACTGAAAATGGAGAGCACACTGCATCAGAAAGTGAGAAATATTCACTTGAGGATAAGCCAGTGCTTTCACACCAAACTATCATTTAATCTGCAAGAGATGCTGAGGTAGCATCATACCTATTTCACAAATGAACAAACTTTTGAGGCTATAGCATTTTTCTCAGAGAAGCTAAATAACTAGCTTGAAGTCACACAGCTATAAACAGAAAGCTGGGATGCAAACCCAGGTCTTCTGATACAAAGTGTAGAGTTACTTTTACAAAGCAGCCAACAGAGCTGTTCAGAGCCATGATTAGTCTTACACTTTGCCCTGTGAGGGAACATGACATTAGATGAGATGTTCTTCCCACATAAAGACACATGGGAGGAGGAGACATACCCGGTTTGCTAGTAAGAGGTTGTGAGGGCGAGGGCACTGGTGGCATATGAGTCGGTATAGACGCTGCAGGCGGAGGAGGAACTGCTGAGGCTGCAGGCTCTGGTTTTGGGGCTGCGGCAGCAGGAGCTTCAGCTGGCTTGGCCTTCGCAGGAGCAGCTAGAAAACAAGGAAAATAGATGCCACTGGCACTATCTGAAATGGAAAACAACCAAATTGCAGATATTAAGCAGAACTTTGGTAGGAAAAGCTCTATCTCCCATCAGTTAGCAAATGCTTCCTGAGTATTTACTATATACGCAAGGCTCTGAGATACACAGAATGATACAAGGTACCATTCTACTCCCCAGGGCTCTTGGATGTCCTACATTAGATAACAGACTTAATTCAGCTGCCTTACTGATATCAAATATCTACGGATCGTCAAATGTGGCAAGTACTTTCAAAGAACCTACTAAGTCTATGGTAATGTAAACTTCAAAGCAAAAGAAATCCAGGCAATTTAAGATGCTAAAACACACACAGAGAAGCAACACATTTCTAGTTATGGTGATACTGATTGTATCCTCTTCTATGTTAATACCACATGTGGAAGAATACTCAAGTATTAAAAAATAAAAGTGTAAATAATCAAGGGCACGTTCAGACTTAAGACTTCAAAGCATTTCATCCAGGATGGCTCTCATAAAACAATAAGGTGGTCAAGCAATAAACTCATAACTTTAAATATTTATTTTGATTTAACCCATTTGGGTATCACATCTGGGTTTGTATTTTAATTACAAGAACATTCTCTTAAGGAATGATCAGAAGTTGGGATTCTTCAACTAGAAGAATGAACCTTATTCCCTAGCCTTCTACTGTATATTCTTTCCGTTCTGGGCTCCTGGGCTTGCTCTGATCAGTCTTAA